CGGGAGACCAAGACTCGTAAAGCAGGACCGGGTTCTGACGTTCCCGCCCACAGAGGCAGGCGGCAGCTGAGTGGCGAGCGCGCTGGCGTGTGGTCCGGGAACTGTCAGTCCAGGGATCGAAACCCATCCGTAAAACTTTTTCCCGCTCTGTTGATCATGTCTTCGGGAGTCAGCGACAACCAAGGAGCGGATCAGCGGAGCGGGAAAAAAGTGTCACGGCTGGGATTCGACCCCAGAGCCAACGGGTTCCGGACCACACGCCAGCGCGCTCGCCACTCAGCTGTCGCCTGCCTCTATGGGCGGGAAAGTCAGAACTCGGTCCTGCTTTACGAGTCTTGTCTACGGCTGCTACGGCATAACCGAGTTCTGTACTTTCGGCTGGCAAGTGGAGCCGACAGCCGAGTGCCGAGCGCGCTAGGGCGTGGTGCACAAGTCACCCTCGGCCCTGGGATCGAGTCCCGGTCGGGGCGAAGATTTTGTTGTTGTTTTTGGCAAGGGGAGGGGGGGGGGGTTGCTGACGAGTAGACGGTCAAGTCCACCTCCCCATGTCGGCTGGTCTTTTGTCATAACCCTTGGTGCCCGCGCCGCAAACTACTAAATAGGGAAAAATGAGTATTCGAACCGACACCCATCCGCGTCCTGGACGCGCGCTCTACCAACTGAGCCAATGCTGAGGCTTGTGAATGGGTGAAGCTTATCTGCGCTGTGGCTCACAACCCGAAACATATGGCGGGCAGAGGGGCAAACTTACCGCCGACTAGATTCGAACCAGCGACTGTTTGAGTACCAGCCCATCACATCAGGTGTCGCACGGCTGTAAAGTCATGGCCAGCGGAGCACGAAAAATATCGCCCGGCCGAGATTCGAACCAGTGACCAGGTTCGTACCGGGGCCAGACGCCACCGACTTGGCCACGACGGAACGATACGGAGCACAACTTTCGGAGGCATCTTGATCCAAGCTGTGACCGACGCCTGAAGACACTTGGCCAGCAGAGCAGGTAAATATGACGATCTGCTCCAGGGCCGAGGTCAATCCGCGCCTCCTTACAGTCATAGCCTTGGAGTAAAGATGCAGGTAACGGTTCCACAGGACAAGTCAAATCTATGGTGTCGTTGACGGCTGTTTTGTCAGCATTTATTTAAAACAGTTTTCAACGTATATGAGCAGACTGGTTAATTTCCGAGGAATGGAAACAATAATGCACACAGGAGTTTTTTCTGGCAGTCTATATTCAGGAATGAAAGGAAATATATGTCTTAACCATGTACACAATTTTACATAATAAAATTTACAAGAGTAAGGTAGATTTCAGTAGGCTTTGAACATACAATTCTGTTAAGATATGAAAATATCACCATCCTATGATTCCTCCATCTGGATATAATACAGTGTCATTTATATAAAAGTACATAAAGATATCAATGACTTGTACAGTGTGAGAGAGCATGGGTTTTTGTGTTTTGGTCTACAAATTAATTTAAAAATATTTGATGCAGTTTTTGTTCTAAGGGACGTAGATTGCACAACACTATATAAACTTAACAAATACTGATAGGAACTGATGTAGAGCTCTGGCCTTCTAAATTATTGTTTTTAAAATTTTATTTATGATTTTGTTGTCTGCTTTCAGATTTGAAATATATTAATTCACTTTTGAATTGCTCTCTCACTTAGATCAACAAGAAGTTAAGGGCAAAGTGTTTGCATTCTTAAAATGTTTAAGCCACTTTAGTATTGGCAATGGACTGGACTCCAGGAGACTTTATAAGCTGAACAAAAATTTCAAACATTTGGAAGTTATTGCAGGAGAATCGTATGTGGCATGCTAGATAGATAAACGAAAAATTATGAGATCAGGGATCATCCCTCAAATGTCACGTAGACATCACAATGATCTAGGGTTCCCATTAGATGGTTCTGTTTACATTTATTCAACTGCAGTATTAGGTATTTTCAACATAAATGGAGAAGGAGACTGTTTCTATTGCATTGCATAAAATTGAAAGAAAAAAGAGTAACGAGCCAAGACATAAATTAAACAAATTTGCAAACTGTAAGAGAGCTATCTTATGCAACACTTCATATTTACATTCAAAAGCGCTCAGCTGAAACAAAAAAAAAAAAAAGAAAAAAGGAAGAAAGTCATTTAAAAGCCCACATGCAAGTTAAATAAAACTCAGAAGCTAGAACAACAAGAAATGAAATGAAAGAGTATAGATAGTGACTGCACTAACAACAACAATAACAACAAAAATCCTTTGGCATGAAACACAGCTGAAAGCTAGATATTTCTTTTTAAACTCGAGGCCGCTTAGGATGAATGAAATAAAATAAATAAGAAAATGTTTGTCTGATAAGACAAGTTAACAATGTATTCTTGCTGTTATAGCTTCTGCAAAAATTATGGTTATCATAACAAGTCAAACACTTGTTGTTTTGTTTTCAAAAGGAATATTACATGGAAAATATAATCACAGCATGAATTCAAGTAAAAGTCATAGTCAACCATACCTTTTTTATCTGTATAGAGTGATGGGAGTTAAAAAAACGACACCCAATTAGATTGACACTTTCTATTCTCAGCCAGAAACAGAGAAAAATATTCAACAAATACTACGTATTTATTTCAGTGGAAAAGATCAATGACGTAGTCTGCACTAGAGAAGAATCCAATCAAAGCTGTAACAACAATGTGAAATGAACCCAGCCCTATCGCTGTTAGTGGAATGGAAAGGAGGAAACAAAATTTCAAAAATTACAATAAAACTAAATACAAATCCGGCTAACTATGTTGTTTAGGTCATTGACAGACAACTCAAGTTGTCTGATAATTCAATTCCGTCCCAATATGGGCTCTCTTCACTCCGGCCGCCTCATCCTTCCACTTGTTTTCCCCCATGTGAGGAGAGAGGCCCCCCTCACCTGGGGGATAACAAGAGAGTGGGGTGAGTTGTAGAGAGCTCCCTTTTGGATCAAATATTGTTAAACCCCTGGTATGTTTAAAAATCATCACATGTAACAAATTATTAGATTTTGTCACTAATGACTCATTTAACATCATAGGTCACATTAATTTGAGAATTCTGTTTAATATGTTCATAAATAACCAAAAGGTTGCAGCAAAACCACAATGTGTAGAATTTCGTCAAGCTTTTCTTAAAAAAATATTTCAAACCTAAAATTGTGTTGAAACTGACAAGTTTAAGCATTATGAAAAATGGGTTTGCTAACAATATCGAAAAGTTTACTTGAATGTATTTAACTGCATTATGGAAAAGTAGCATTGATTTGAATTGTGGTTTGAAGAATAACAATGCCAGCCCACATTTGTTTTATGGGGACAACCTCTGAGAATCTGTGCAATACACAGGAGGGCATTAATACAATGAGATGAGAATGAGGTTGTTGATGCATTTGTTCATAGCATGAAAATAGAAAAGCAAAACAAACTACCAGGGGGTAGATTTCCAGCAATCGGGCAGAGTGAATTTTGATAACAGAATTGTGCTGTATTTAATTCAGTCCCTATATTATTGCAATAACTGTTTTCATTTTAAAATATTAAACAAAGTTACCACAAATTTGGAAAAAAAACAACAAAAAACAATCAACCAAACAAGAAACAAAAGATAAGAACAATGACAAATTACTACATAGTTAAAACATTATTTTCATAGAGTGAAGGAAAACAGAAAAAGAGGACAAGGATGGGAGAAAGGTAGACAGAAACTTCCAATAAAGGCAAAGCCAAATCCACCTACGTTCTGGCAAACTTATAAATAATAATTACAATGAACCTCATTTAAAATTTACATTTTTTCACATAATACAAACAATAATTGAAATTACAAAGCATTGACTTGTTCCATGGCTATAATTAAACTTTAACATCACAAGATTCCTAGCATAGTATTTATGCATGGAAATATAATTCAATTCACCTATTTCATTTGGCAACATTTAAACAATAGCGCCCATCCACTGGAATCGGTAATAATTTTTACAAATGTACAACAAAGTACAGGGGTATCTTCTCCCTACTAGTGTAGGGAAAACAAAAAAAATCTGTCCAGCAAATGCGAGTTTGACATATTTTTTTTACCTTTAATGAAATTATTAGGGGTACGCAGAGCATTTTCACACTGAGTTTCCAAACATATTTTTAAATACTTGGTTCAATATTTGTTCAAAAAAAAGTAAAAAAAAAAAAAACTAGACAAAAAACAAGTATTATAGTTAACAATTTGAAGTGCGTGGACGAATGTGTTTTTGAAATGTGTTGCAGTAACACATTGATATATTAACAATTTAAGATTTAAAAACAATCTTTACTGCTCTCCAGAGAAAAAGTAAATAACCCATTAAGTTTTAACACTGAAAGTATAAAACCTCATTGTCTAATTCCTTGATTTTTAATAAATGCTTTCTTCACAAAAAAGTGAGTTACAATGAAAGCAATCAGACTTTACAAACACTGAACACTAGGCTTGTTTTCACAGTTCTGATGAATCTTGAGCACCACTTATTGGCAATTTATGTCCATGAGAAGTGCTCCTAGTTACACCAGGAAACCCTCAGACAAATTCGCTGAGATCTGTGCACGCATAGCTTGAACACTGTTCATTATCTTCTTTTGATGTCCAACAAGAGTAATGCCAAGGGCTGTAAGTTCTTTCACTGTTACACGCACTACAGCATCCATGCTTGTAATACCCGCACGTTCAAAGTTTTCTAAATAACGAGTCATTTTAATAGAGTTGAGCCATTCTTCCACAGTTGTGAACTGTGTCATATCTGGTGCATCAGGTGCTAGAGGATTGACAGTCCTGAAACAGAAGAGATTAACAGTACATGAGAATGAGAATAGAAATTGAATGGTTGGTTTGAGGGTAGATTGCATTCCAAGGAAGGACTATAAAAATGTCATGAAAGCGTAATGAGATCACATTAATCTGAAGTCTGAAGTTACGACATACCGGAAATAAAAGTCTACAAAAAGGATCAAATGATACATGTCAAGATGATTCTTAGAAGACTCAACATGATCTCTTGTGGCTTTTAAGCTAGATTGGGTTTTGTGAAGCAAAAGCTCTTCAAGTAAATGACCAACAAAGATATTGTATGGTGTATTGGCATCAGCTTTGGTTTCACACAACTTAATCCCGGTTTAGTGATAATTAGGACAAACTGAGAGGCAGATGAATGGATAACTAAGCAGCTCAAGATTCATTAGAGACAGATCATGCAAGCTGTTTCTGTTTTTATCATGCAGGTGAAAGCAGCTCAAACAGAAAAGGTCAAATAAATGAGTAATTGGCACGACACACCAATATTATTAATGTATCAATGTAAAACAGAGTAAAAAAAAACAAACTGTGTGGCCATACGGACAAAGTATATAATTATTTTTTGAAAATATCAATCATGTTAAGGCCACTATAAAAATTAAACTAAAGGGAAATCTACTCTATAATATGAGAATGAACCTTCATATGCACAATAGAATTTTTAGCTAAAATTTTAGGGGTTTCATTTTTAACTACACTGCCACCATAGAAAACATGCTTAATTTGTGAGAATTTGTGGGGAATAGTAAGAAGGGAGGGGGGAGGGGAAAACCAAAGAAAATATAAGCTTCCGTACCTTGCTGGGCGACATTGTGATCTGGCACCATCACCCACCCTAACCCAAGTGGTTAAACTGCACCCACTCTGGTGGTCTAAAGGCCACATGTGTGTAGTAGGGATTATGCAGGGGCGGTCGTCTGCCATGATCCAGAAACGGAAAAAAAAAATAACCCCAAATTAAAATCAAGTCATACTAGAAAAATGTATCCGATTCATGTAAATCTAACACTTAAAAAAACTTAAAACAAAAGTCGTGAGACTATAAGGAATGACTTCTAAATTCAATTTGTAAATGAATTTAAAATGCATACACTGAAAGCTATCTGCGTGATTTGCTTTTGAGTTTTAATTTGAAAACCACAGCCCCACTCTCTCCTTTCCACCACCATAAAAACACATTCACAGAATTAAGCAAAATATTTCAGATGTTAGGTAAAATAAAAATAAAGGTCACAATAAACTCTAGACAAACAACTAATTCACAAAAGCAAAATTTTTTAAATATTGGATAAGAGCAAAGACTTTAGAACTCTCATTCTCATTATTGGCATTGGTTTAGATTTGGCCTCTGATGCCTTAATATGAAATAGACATGCCAAGTTATTTACAGTGTTCATAAAATTAATGCAAGACAAAAGCAGCACAAAACAGCATACAAAGATACATAAATCAATCAGCAGTGTTAGTTAGAGCTAAGCAGAGAAGGAAGCTACTTTTGCCCAAGAGCAAGGTTTCATTAGTGTGAGAAATACAAAAAGTTAAGAGAATTGCACAAGGATGCTATATTTTGAACCTAGCTAGAAGGGAGACTGTAATTTCCAAAATCAAACCTTTCAAAATAATGAAGATTGCTTTTTTCATTAACAATAATTACTGCACTCTTAGTTTCCATGTCAATGTCTTAAATAAAATCTCAGCCTCCCTTTCCAAATTGTTTCAATGATAACAAATTTAATTAAAAAAATTAGTTAAAGATCGCAAAATGAGACTCTTTCAAAGATATAGATATAACACAAAAGTTAGAAAAAGAAGCCTGAAAAGGTAAGTGGTGCAGGTGAATCCAGATAAATTCAACTGACTCACAAAACGAAAGGAGAAAGAGAGAGAGAGAGAGGTACATGAGGCAAGTGGTACAAAATTTTAAAAAAAGCAAGTGCAACACTTATTATTTAGACATTTATGCACTAGTTTGATAGGTTTAGCTAACTTAATATAGATGATAGAATTCTCTTTCAATTTAACCGTTGGACAAAAGAACAAACAAAGCAAAAGAAAAAAAAAGAACAAAATTACCTGTTTTGGGCAATCTTTCGTAAGGTGTCAGGACATCGTATAAGTTTATCCAGTGTTTTCACAATAGACTCAAACGTAGGTCTATGCGTTCTTTCCTTCTGCCAGCAGTCCAGCATGAGCTGATAAATAGCTTCTGGACAGTCCATTGGCGCTGGTAATCTACCAAATTAAAGATGAATGTGTTAAAAGAGTTCATCAAGCCAAATATATGTTATGGTAAAATACCCATGAAAAAAATTCTGTAACATACCTGTACCCTTTCTCAATAGACTTGATGACATCTTGATTGCTCCAATTCCAATATGGGCGCTCACCATATGACATCACCTCCCAGCAGACAATGCCAAATGACCAGACATCTGATGCTGAAGTGAACTTTCTGAAAGCTATTGCCTCTGGAGCTGTCCATCTCACAGGTATTTTACCACCCTAAATGTAGAATAAAAACACATGTTAGTATTACTGATCAAACTTCCATGGCACTATTGGTTTTTGCTATGAGTAAATGTCCTACCCTTGTTGTGTATGCCCCTTCAGTGGCACTCTCCATTTCTCTGCTTAATCCAAAATCAGCAATTTTGCAGACTAATTGTGCATTTACCAACACATTTCGTGCAGCAAGATCTCGATGTACATAGTTCATTTCTGACAAATATTGCATACCAGAGGCTATACCTCTTAACATTCCAACTAGTTGTAAAACTTGGAATTTTCCATCATTTGCCTGAAAAGAAAGATGTTTCTTTACTGTTGTGCTTTAATAAGCTCTAGTTTTTAACAAAGAAGAACTTCTTCTATCATGAAAATAGAATGGTGGTATTTCAACTTATTTACCCTAAGAAAAGTGTCAAGAGACCCGTTTTCCATGTACTCTGTTATTATCATAACGGGATTGCTTTTGGTGACAACACCTTGTAAGAATATTACATTTGGGTGCTCAAATTGACCCATAATAGATGCTTCAGTTAGGAAGTCATTTCTTGCTTTATCTGAGCTTCCTGGCTTTAATGTTTTAATAGCAACATCTATTTCTAAGCGCCCATCTGGCGGCAACTTGAGTTTTCCCCTGCACACATCACCAAATTCACCACCACCTGAAACAAAAATAAATCAGTTTAGAATTGAGATAAAGAATCAATGACGATACAAGCAGCTGGAGCCAGATTGAATAATGATAACTCTGGAAACCCAAGTGTGTACTTGAATGCAGAATATTCTGTGTACTTGGCAAGTACACAGAATATTGTGTGTTCTTGGAAAGTACACAGAATATTGTGTGTACTTGGTCAAGTACACAGAATATTGTGTGTACTTGGTCAAGTACACACTAAGTCTCCTACATAAATGTATGGAGGTTTTAGTGTGTACTTGACCAAGCACACACAATATTCTGTGTACTTGACCATGTACACACAATATTCTGTGTACTTGCCAAGTACACAGAATATTCTGCATACACGTAGGTATGCAGAATATTCTGCATACACGTAGGTATGCAGAATATTCTGCATTCAAGTACACACTTGGGTTTCCAGAGAAAATGGGAATATGCTAAATCTGAGTACATGACTAGTCAATACAGTACTCTAACTTTTCTTCTCAACAGACTTATGATGCAGTGAAGTAAAAGACTAGAGGATTTTGTGAGCTACATACCTATAATGGCTTCGATGGTTATACAGGATGCGTCAATTTCACGTGCGAATTCGCGTACAGCCTGGTTGGGGTCTTCATAAGTGTGGGGGTCGATGTATGTCCGAGATGACGGCCCCACTTGTGTGAAGAGAGGCGTTGTCACTGCAGGCAAGGAGATGTGCATTTAGAACAGGGTTTTGGTGCAGTATGCAAAGCAGGGCTTTCAAGAAACTTAACCCTTTAAATTAAAAATAAAATTGTCAAGGTTAGGAGATTTGAAAAAAATTAAGGTAAATCATATTTTTATTTTTGGAAAATTGATAGACATGCATCTTGCCAAAGTCAATGTAAATAAACAAATTTATAGGGTTTTACACTAGAGCAGGCAAATGAGTTCTTTTGACATTTATATGGCTACGGTTAATAATAGGAGAGCTACTTATAATTTAATTTAGAATTCAAGCACTTACTTCCATTGGTATGGGTTGTTACAATGGGGGGATTATCCATATTGCAATGCACTGAAATAATAAAATAAAGCCAAAATTAAAGAAAAGAAGCAGATAAAAAAATACAGTAAAAGAATGGGAAAGCAGAAACTACACAACTACGACCATGTCACTAGTATCACTTATACAAATCTATTTAAAATCAGGGGAAAATACACACTACTCTAAACTTAGGTATACATGACCCAAACAATGACAATGTTTGTAACCCAGTAGGGGTCAGTATGGAACTATCAAAAATAATCTATTACTCATGGAGTGCAGTATGACTACGAGGTAGTCAAGGCATGGGTTAAATGATAAAGAGAAATACTCCCTAAGAAATGAAGTAAGCTATTACATTATGCCAGAAAAAAAAAATTTCATGCTCCATGCAAAAAGAGAGCTCTGATCTACATTCATGCATTTTCTCTCATGTTCACAATCACATGATAGAAATATAAAGAACTTACTGTATGTGACAACTAGTCCTGATCGTGGAAGATTGCATGAAAAAGAAGAAAAATAGAGAATATAGAGATATTGAAGTAAAGATATCGATCAACTTTGAATTTTTTTTCAAAATTTTACTGAATTTATATTCTAAAGCACACATCTATTAAAGGAAATGAATGTATTTTCTGGACAGTTAACATTTCATGATATCTGACAAGAAAAATGTTTACCGATTTTATGATAGTTCTAAGGCAGAATGTTTTGGTGAATAGATAGATAAAGACAGACAATTGTTAAGAGAAAATCAAAGGGAAAAACAGAATACAAACCTTCACCATTACGGTATTCAAGTGTATCACAATCACTGGGTTGTTTCTTGTTACATTCATCACTGCCTCTGCTATGGACAGAGTAAAAGTAAAGTCAGATTAATTTTTATCTGTACATATTGCAAAATTGTCCACCCCCCGTCCCTCTCAAAAAAATATTAAAAAGAACTCATACCTCCTCAAAAACAGAACTGTCATTATAATGATGATGACCAATAAAACTACAACAGCAACTGTTGCTCCAGCAATAATTCGAACTTGCATGTTATCATCATCACCAACATAGGCTGTAATAAATGATAAAAAGGAGACTTAATGTTAAGTAAACAGAGCGGTATTTTGTTTCAGCATTAAATTCTTAAATTTAATATTACCTAAAACTTGTCCTGTTGTCTTAAATATTGTGGGACTAAAATCTCCCCAACCATGAGTAGTTTTTGCTCGTACAGCAAAACCATACTCTGTGCGTTGGCGTAGTCCAGTGATTGTTACATGGTTTTCCTTAGTGAGTTGGCTGGTAGCATTATTATCACTATTTCGAGGATGGCAACGAACCTGCAACAAAATAGGCCAATTATAAATTTGATAGAACATGTTGTACATGAGGTAAAATAACTTCTCAAACTCTTTTCTTTACCTCGTAGACTTCCACAGTATCTCCTTCATTGTCAGTTGCTTCATTAGTTAAAGGAGCATCCCACGCAAGTGATAGTTCAGTTGATTTAACACTGGTTACTCTAACATTTGTCACGGATGAAGTGACAGATGCTTCTGTGGTAACCGTGATATCAACAAAGTCACTTTCCCCAACAAGTTCTGTCACACCATTCTCTGCAAATACTTTGAATCGATACTGGGTAACTGGGTTGAGACCGGTGATGGTCACCTTTGTGTCATTGAAAACATCCTGAAATTAAATAGACAGGTAGATAATATTTATGTTTATTCACAGGCAATTAACCAAATATGATTAAACAAACAAAAAACAAACACATACCGAATTAGGAATATAGGATACACTATTGCCACATGTATCACAAGCAACTCTATACATGGTGTCTGACCTGCCACCTAAGAAATGTGGCACTGACCATGACAGAATAACAGTTGACTGGTCAACAAAGTTTACTGTCAGGTTTTGTGGAGCTGAGGGTGGTTCTAAGAGAACAGGGATGGAAAGAGCGTTATCACATTTGATCTATAACTACTTGACAGTGTGGTATGACAAAGATGAGAGAAGAGATGCCAGATAAATACAAGATTTATTACACTAGAAAAACAAAGGAAGGGCATAGAAGTTTTAAAAGGAATTAAAAACAAAGCAATTTTCATTTTGGGGACAATTCTCAAAATTTTGCAGGCCATGTGATTTTTTTATTATATATAAAAAAAAAGAAATCATAAAATTTTAGTGCTAGGTTTGTGGTGTTCTCAAAGATTCTGGCATCATACCTCATTTTAAATAATAATAATTCATTTATTATGTTGGAGATAGGGTACTCACGAGTGCATGGCATACTCTTCGGATCGCTAGGAGCACGGTAGTAGCCTCCATTGCACCTACACTCGGAGAAGCCATAGTCCGGAGCCTTGCTGTGCTCCGGACAGAGCTGACACCGGTCGTCCCCGGTGCCGTGCTTGTACTTCCCCGGCGCGCAAACTATAACAAGAAACAATACATTAGACTCAAATATGAAGAAAAGATTGTGGACCAGTCTGGTCCAAGACGCTCCTCGCTCGAGTTGCTCGAGACTAGAGGGAATCTCTTGCTAGGAGCGGTGTTCCTTCCCTCCCTCTCGGGTTAGTAACCCCCCCCCCCCCCCCTTACCGGACGCGTCCGCGAGCATCCGCACGCCTAAGTTTTTATGCATTGGGTGTGTGAGGGAGGCAGTAGGTGGGGCAGCGACAACACAGCGCAGACTACATTGATTGAGTGAGCACTATCAAGGGTGAAAGGACGGCCCTAGATGAAGGAGACACACTCGCTTGGGCGTTATGAAGCAAGTGATAGCTCGAGTTCGGGCCGTATCAGGTCACGTCAACTTGTGATGAAGTATTAATTAATGTGGAGACAGAGAAGGGAAAAGGGGCGTTGCGCGGCGTGGCGCCGAGGAGGGGGCAGCTTGACTGATGGGAGTTGGCGAACAGCAGCGGGCCAGTCCGAGTCGCGCGAGTCTCCAAGAAAGTGGCGGGGCGTGGCAGCAGTCGCACTGCAGAGAGTGGCGCGCCACGGCGGGGCGCCGGGCCGGGCCGGGCCGGGCCGGGCCGGGCCGGGCCGGGCCGGGCAGGGCCGAGTCAACTAGTAATTGCTCCCGGCCCAGCCTCCGTCTCGTACTCACCCGGCACCCCTCGTTCTGCACGCACTAAAAAGCGCAAAGTTTAGCCAACTTTGCTCTCGTGGGGAGGAGTGGGAAACCTCTTCTTCGAGCCCTCTGTCCGTCTGTCCGTCTGTCTGTCTGTCTGTCTGTCTGTCCCCCCTCCCCTCTTGACTCTTCCACACCCACACGTGTGGCTCGCACCTTGTGTGCGGGGGGCTTTGGTACGAATATTGTGCTGTACTCTGACCCTAACGCACCACGACCGGCCAGGCAGGCCGAAAAAAAACCGTTGGGTCATATGTGGCCTCAAGGTTAGTCAAGTCAAGGCACTCCGTGAAGTCAAGCAGCATCCCTGCGCGCCGACTAGCCATCCCATCCCCCCCGACAGGCAGGCAAACCAGCGTCAGGGCTGTGTAGTGGGACAACGTGCCCGCCCCGCCAGCCGTCCCCACGTCACCTCCC